AAAAAAAAGGGTTCTTTGGGGTTCTATATAGAACCCTAGGGTTCTTTACTCAACTCCAAAGAACCCTTTATGCCAAAAAGGTTCTATATAAGGAGAAAGAACCCTTTTTGGCACAAAAGGGTTCTTTGGGCTAAACCATGCTTTATGCATGTTTACACATTAGGCTATTTAAAATTATTATACTACATTGTGTTTTTATTTCAATTTTACATTGACACACCTTTATTCCGAAGAAAATAAACTTAAAATTTACATCTGCACTTTCAAGTTTAATAGAAAATAATTGCCACGTGTTCCTGTACACTGAAAAAATGCCTAACATCTAAATTAACTGGTGTTACTTAAGTCTACTAACACTGAATCAAACTATTAATTTATACCAACAAACTGATCAGGTAGAAATACATGTGTACTAGCAGTGTATAGCAATCTGGACAGTTTTATCTATTTATTAATAGGTACACGCTATAGTCTGCTATTTAATCAGCACAAAAACATGATTGCAAGTTAGTTATCATGCCATGCAAGATGCCATACAGCTCTTTTATTGACGAGCAACATGCTCATATCGATGGAGTTTCAGTGTTTAATTTAGATTCTAAAAGGCTATTTTTATAACTCATCCCTCCAAACAGAGCATAAAATTGTCTTTGACATAAACTGCAAACAACTTGAACGTGTATCTATGCTCTGATCAGTTTTGTCCCGTCTGCACAGCGCCGCATTTCAGTCGCGCGCCTCTCGCGAGAGTGATCACTAATAAGCGCGCGAGCGCCGCTGTTTAAACTTCAGCGGTTACGGTGCGCTGACTGCGCTCAGCGCTCGAGAGAACGACGATTACATTGGTAAGTGAGAAAATTAACTTCAGCTTATTTCAATTACTTTTACCTAAACCCTTGTCATTTTTAGTTAGCCTAACGTTACACGTTTATTTCAAGAAGCTAAAAAGAAGAAAGGTGGTTTATCGCGTTGTCCAGGCCTGCGCAATTCTCCGCCGGGAGGTTTGTCATTTTTAACATGAATCCCTAAAGTATCTTGATAAAACTGTTGTGAATTGATAAATAATGCTGGTGAGAGTTCATGTTATATCTAATATTTTTTTGCCCTGGAGATTGTATTGGGCCTACATGTAACGTTCTAGGAAAAGATTAAACAAAGTTTCGGTCAAATCACCGTCAGCCTGCCGTTATAAACATGAATTCAAACCAAGAAGAACAAAAGAGAGAAGCTGATGGAGATTTTTTCTGTGAATAACTGTGAGTATTTGTTGTTTGCAGTATAGTAAAATATAATTATTTGTTTTGCTGAAGTAACGTTAATTGTATATTATTCTAAACACACTGTATTTGGTTGTTGTAGATGTTCATCTATTTCAGAGAGCACTTTTAAAGTTTTACCACCACCTTATCAGAGTGCTGAAAAGTGGAAGTCAGAGGAAACATGACCAACTTGCTGCAAAACAATAACACAAAAGGTACATTATTTCTTTTTCCTCACAGTACCAACTTTGGGAAACGCAGCTAATCTGAAGTTACTGATATATTTTTTTCTTCTTCTATTTTCCACATTTTATCATGCAGGTTCTTATGATTGATTGATAAATAAATAAATAAATATTTTGTACTGTCACTGCAGGTCTGGACTATGGAGTGCAGCATTACTTGTTTGGTCATCTACATTCAGATGAAAACACCACACTCCTCTCTAATTCAAGTAAGTTTTAAGATTTGATTTAATTGTGAGAGATTCCTTTCTTTTTCCTGTTGTACTGTACTCTCCATAGGTCTAATAAATGTTTCTCTGACTTGTATCCCCATCTTAGGATGTCAAGCCTACTCATCGCAAGGAGAGTTAGCATCAAAATGGATGTGTCACTGACCAATAACACAGAGATGCCAGAAGTATCTGTTTGCTGTCTACTTTTTGTTAAGTACTATGGAGCATCCAAAAGCCATCACTCAGTTAATTTCAATCAGCACTATTTAGCCCTTCCCAGTGCTGAAATTGTCATGGGTCTTTTGTTTTTATTGTTTAAATGCTTATCTGAATGAAAAATTTACATTTAATGCTTATAAATTTAAAAACAATACTACTAGTTAGTCTTTTCTCTCCCTTTTCAGAAATGTGGTTCACCATCTTTCATGGGTTACAGAATTGGCAAAAGTTGCAGTATACAAAAAAAAAAGTCAGACTACTTGGTTTATAGGAGAATGTGGAGTAAATACTTGACATTTATTTAAGGTAAAGGGTAATGACCTGGTGGTGAGATGCAAAATAGGACTAGTATGAATAAATAAAGAAAAATGGATTTATGTTAATCCCTGTAACTGTTGCACTATGAATTGCTGTGTTATATATTGCTTGTCATTGTAAACGCTAATAAAAGTGTCTTAAATGATCACACAACACCTTGATGTGTTATGCTTATTTCAGTTTTTTTTGTGATAAAGTAGCTATATGGGCTGTTTAAGTCTTAAAATGTAATTAAAATAAAACAAAAATTAAATCCAAAGAATAATCCCATGATGGGAACCCCTAAAGGGTTCTATATAGAACCTTTTTCCAGGTTACAAAGAACCCTAAAGGGTTCTTTTGATTGAACCCTTGAAAAGGGTTCTATATGGAACCTTTTAGGGGTTCCATATATGAAGCGCCTGATAGAACCTTTTAAGGTTCTATATAGAACCGTTTCTTCTAAGAGTGCATGATAGAACACTGCACATAAAACAAATACACAAACAATTGCTCAATGGCACACACATGTACTGTACTGATGTGTGTACTGTACTGATCAGACCCATTGACTCACATTTTAGCAGACAGTTTGAGATCTGGGATGCACATGTTGTCTTCTCCACAGTCCAACAGGATGTTTGCCTAAGGGAGAGGGAAAAAAAAATCTTCTCTTTCCGTTTTTTGGTTTGTTTGTTCACTGAATTGAACTTATGTTTTACTTTCTCTCTACTTGACTCTGTTTATACCAGACAACAAGATGTTGTCTTGTTTTTCATTTAAAAACCCCTTATTTTAAATCCTGTATGTCATGTGGTCCTAATTGAATTATTAAAGTACACATTAATGCACACATGCAGCATCTCACAAACAATGCGAACATTCATGTCGCATGCAGACCTGCTCATGGTGGAAGGTCTTGCTGTAGTGGTCCAAAATGGGCCGCAGCTGTAGGCCAGGTGGAGGAGAGTTCTGGTCCAGACTGTAGTTCAGTGTCACGCTGATAGGACTCAGTTTATCTCTGAACTCTCCCTCATCCTACACGCAGACAGAGAAGGAAGAGACAAAAAAAGTGGATTGCAAACTTTGAATTGAATTACTCTTCCTCTCATCCTAGTTTCACTTTTTCTACTCTTGATTATCTTCATCCTTTGACATCAATCTGTTTTCTTTACATGAGAGAGAGTAGTAGTAGTAGTATATTTTTAATTTAATGCCATGTCAGCATCTTACGCTATTTTCATGGCAAAAACAATAAAAAAAAAATACAAGTATACTGTACATGACAGAGAAAAATCACAGCTGCTGTACGAGCATGCTTGCCTCAGAGAGCCAAGGACAATAAATACAATTATTTAATAAGTTACGAGGATTTAAGAAAATGAGAAAGTATGTTTATGTTTCTGAACAAAAATGCACAAGGATTTGTGAAGGAAAAGCTTGAGCACAAAAGCTGCCAGGCTGTTATAGTGTGATGCTGCTGCATAAAAACACACACATTATTTGCACAAATTCAAATTATGCACACAAATATTTTCTCAAAAATAAATCCTATTCATCTATAATCATCCCTATCATTTTAATAACTTAAAATAAAATATATAAAATAAATATATACATTTTTGCATGTAATAATAATTATTGTATACAAATGTATATTATTATTATTATTAATAATAATAATAATATAAACATTTTACATATTTAAAATAATCTAATTTCAGGTTTTATGTGTGGGTGTTTATGCTTTATATCTGTCATATATTATAGTAATATAGTATAACATATTATATTATTATTAAGAATTATCAGTATATCTACTATATAATAATATCTAATAATATTATAATATCTACTATATTAATAATAATAATAATAATTTATATTGTTGGATATTTGTGATAATATAACATAATATATATTTTTAAATAACTTTTTATTTAATAATAATAATCATATATTAGTATATCTAAAATAATAACCAATTTTATTATTCTTATTTAATAATTTCCTGTTTCTAATTTCTGTTCTTATGTTGTTGGATGTTTGTGCTTTACATCTGCAATATATCATAGTGACAGGTCATGTTGCCTGAGATTTTATCAGTCAAATTGAGTTGGCAAATAAATGTATTTCCCATGGCCTGTGTTATCATATAAACACCCAGAAACATTTAAGACTGCGTTCATTTTCTGTGTCACCTCGGCCCAGCACAATTTTTGGTCTCATTTTTGAGACACACTCTCACATTGCTTATTCCGTCCAGATGAGCCGTGTTGCACTACGAGCTTGGTTTGGCTCACAATTAACTTTCCCATGGGTTCAGTTGTAGTGAAGATAAAACAAGAATTTATCATGAGGAACGAGGCCAGTTCAGCAATGTTCTGTGCTCATGTGCACTATAACGCTCACCCGCAGGTAAACAGAGTAGTTGTGGCAATGTTGACGGCCCCCTTGACCCAGAACCAACTGCTGGGCTCTCTGGTGCTGGTGAGAGTCTATGAACAAGATCCTCTTAACTGCTCCACGCTGCTTCAGCCAATCCAGCTGCAGGTCCATTCTCAGAGCTGAGAGAGAGAGAGAAAGACGGGCATGCTATTGTTAGCTCCACCTTTACAGACTCTAATTCCTGCAATTTCTGCTCGGACCAAACAGGTTTTGGACCATAAAAATTGCACGTTCCTAAGGTTAATGACCAGGGCTTCTGAACAACAATCAAATAGTGCTTCCAACAAACGTGTACCTCACACACACTCTCAAAGGCACACAGCCACACCTGTTCTTTGTCATCTCCAAAACCATATGCACTGATTTTTAACAGGCCTGCATTCAGAAGTGCTGGGAAAGAGGATTTTATTGCCTGTTGGTTTAACTGAGTTTGGCACCTTCTCCATTTTGGCCTTTACTGAAGCCACTTACATACAGATGTTCAACAAGTGCTGAGACACACAAACTCACACTGAGCACAACACATATAAGGGAAAACGATAAAATATCTCTGTCAGCAAGCACCATGAGACAATGTGTACTGGATGATGAAATAATTTGCTTTCATTATTAGCCAGAGTGCAACATTAGAGTTCTAGAAGTCTCATTCATTTTTCCATAAAGAAATTGATTACATAAACAATATTCAAAATATACAATGAGCTCTGAAATGTAGAAGCCACAAAAACCATGTTCATTTGCCAAGTACAGTCATGAAGCAACACTGACCAATCACAAATGTCACTGTTACCATGGAAACAAAAGACAGCTGTAAAAGTCCACTCCCTTAAAGTAATAAGAAAGACATAATGGAGTCAGTCTCCTTACACTCTGAGGCCCCGTTTACACTAGTGCGTTTTCGTTTTAAAACGCATAACTTTTGCTACGGTTACGCCTATCGTTTACACTACTTCGGCGTTTTCGACCCTCGAAAACGGAGACTTTTGGAAACGCTGCAGACCCCATTTTAGTTGAAAAACTATGGGGTTGTGTTTCAGTGTAAACAGACCAAAACGGAGACTTTTGAAAACGATGGCTGTCCACATTTGCTCTGTGTATCCTTGACGACCGTGTAAACAATAACATCATGCTCATTGTTGTACCCATAGATATCTATGGGTAGAATCCCCATTCGACCACTCCAAGCACGTAGACGTGTCTGCCATCTAAATAATAGGGAATCTACCTATACATATCTATGGCTGTACCTGCATGAATGGTCATGTGACATGCGTTTTCGAGATTGTTTCTGAAATGCAGCGGAAACGCCAGTGTAGACGAAGGATCGTTTTTATTCTAAAACACTGTTTAAAAAAAAAAAAAACGCACTAGTGTAAACGGGGCCTTAAACAACTTTTGTGAATTCTTTGTGAAAGAATATTAAAATTTTACATAACTGTTTTCTATTTTAATGTTTTAAAATGTAATTTATTCTAGTGATAGCAAAGCTAAATTTTTAACAACCATTACTCCAGTCTTTCTTCAATGTTGACATCCTTCAAAAATCATTATAATATGCTGATTTGGTGCTCATTAACATTTATTATCGAACAGTTGTGCTGCTTTATATTTCTGTGCAAATTATACATTTTTTCAAAACTTTTTGATGAATGGGAATTTCAGAAGCTTTTATTTGAAATATAAAATTTTGTAGCATCATAAACATCTTTGTCACTTTTAAACAATTTAATGAATTAAAATAAAAGTATAATAAAAGTAATTTCTTTAAAAAATTCAGTTAATAGTTTTATATTTTATGGTCAAGGCTGATTTGTGTGTGTGTCATTTGCAATGCTTTATGGGATGTGTAGTTCATTTAGGTATAAGTACCTTTTAACAGTTATTTTGAAATATTTCTTTGCTTTGAATCAAATATTTGGAGTTGTTTGGTTTGGTTTAAGGCTTTGAGCACTTTTTGTAAAGCTTAAAATAAATGGGAATATTCCTTCCAGAACCAGGTTAAACACGGAGATTGAAACGAAATGCATTTAATTAACAGAAAAATTAATGCACTTACCTACATAATCAGGAATACCAATCCCAGAGATCTTTGCGCACACATTTACTGACAGACTGAGAGAAAAAAAAATAAAAAGAGAGAAAGAGTCATTTAGTACAGCATAACTTAGCCAAAAAGCAATGACAACATTTAAGTGATGTTAAAAACACAGTGGAAGGGGATTGTTAATATGGGTGGAGTGTTTATAGATGGAGCTGAATGGAGACGTGGGATGCTGAGGGATCCTGTGCTCCTCAATATTTAATTACTTAATCGAATTTGCCTCTTTT